ATTATATGGAGTTGGATGGGAGAATACTAGCTACAAGCATTGTGGACTCTGGTCAATATGACAATATTGTGGAGTCAAATGATGAGCAGGAGTTTCCAGATATCCTAATTTATTCAGGGCAAGGTGAAAATCCGAAGTTTCAAAGTAGGAAATTTGTATATGATCAAAAACTTGAAGGAGGAAACCTTGCATTGAAGAATAGTTCGGAAACAAAAACCCCGATAAGGGTTATTCGTAAGTTTTCCTTTAAAGGTGCTAGTAGTAAGATTGTTGAACGAAAGTTTGTTTATGATGGGTTGTACTTTGTGGATAGTTATCGGGAAGAAAAAGCATCATCGGGTAAGCTTGTTTTTAAGTTTGTACTAAAGAGATTTCCAGGGCAACCAAAACTTAAGAGGGCAAAATTGATTAAGAAAGAACATGTTTGTATGAATGATATTTCTCAAGGTAAAGAGAGGATACCCATTCGTGCAATGAATGCATTGGATGATGAGAAGCCCCCACTCTTTAATTATGTCACCAATGTAACGTATCCCGAATCCTACCATCCTTTCATGTCGAGTGGTGGTTGTAATTGTATTGATGGATGTTCAGATTCTGAGGATTGCCCTTGTGCCATCAAAAATGGTGGAGAAATTCCATACAATTATGAAGAGTGCATTATGATGGAGAAGCCTACTATCATCGAGTGTGGACCTTCTTGTAAGTGCTTTACTTCTTGCATTAATAGAGTAAGTCAACGGGGAATTCGTTTTCCGTTAGAAGTTTTTAAGACTAAAACAAAAGGATGGGGTGTTAGATCACGATCTTTTATACCGTGTGGAAGTTTTATTTGTGAGTATATAGGTGAAATCCTTCCAGATAAGGAAGTTGAACAAAAGATAGATAAGGATGAGTATTTGTTTGATATTGGACATAACTATGGTGTCTTGTCACTCTCATCTGAGGTAAATGAATGTTTCACAATTGATGCAGCTCAGTTTGGGAATGTGGGTCGATTTATCAATCATAGTTGCTCTCCTAATCTTTTTACTCAAAATGTACTCTTTGATCACTATGATAGTAGTATGCCCCACATTATGTTATTTGCTATGGAAGACATACCTCCCTTG